TGCTGCCTCATGCTTAACTTGTTGTCCACCAGCACTCCCAGGTCCTTCTCTGCAGAGCTGCTTTCCAGCAGGTCAACCCCCAGCCTGTACTGCTGCATGGGGTTATTCCTGCCTAGGTGCAGGACCCTACACTTGCCTTTGTGGAACTTCGGGATGTTCCTCTCTGCCCATCTCTCCAGCCTGTCCAGGTCCCTCTGAATGGCAGCACAGTCTTCTGGTGTGTCAGTCACTCCTCCCAGTTTTGTATCATCAGCAAACTTGCTGAGAGTGCACTCTGTGCCTTTATCTAGGTCACTGATGACTATGTTGATCAAGACTGGACCCAATACTGACCCCTAGGGGACATTGCTAAATACAGGCCTCCAACTAGACTCTGCGCCACTGACCACAACCCTCTCAGCCCTGCCATCTAGCCAGTTCTCAATCCAGCTCACTGTCCACTCATCCAACCTGCAATTCCTGGGCTTCCCTATGAGGATGTTATGGGAGACACTGTTAAAAGCCTTGCTGAAGTCCAGGTAGACAACATCCACTGCTCTCCCCTCATCTACTCAGCCAGTCATTCCATCATAGAAGGCTATCATGTTGGTTATTCATGAGCTCCCTTTGGTGAATCCATGCTGACTACTCCTGATTCACCTTCTCGTCCTCCACATGCTTAGAGATGGCCTCTAGGATGAGCCGTTCCATCATCTAACAACCAGCTTCAAACTAGCCAGCTCAGATACCAGTATGTGTTCTTTTTTTTAAGTAAGACCCATCTGAATAAGAAAGCAGATATTTTCATATTTGTCTTGCTGCAGCTGTTCACAATCCAAGCTAGCTCCAGTATTGTCCCCACTATGCTGCAGTTAGCACAGCTGCTACATGGCAGCTCTGGCCCCATAGCATATCTTGGCTTACACACAGTAGTTACTGAATGCAAGTCCTAGCTGCAAAAACTAGTGCAGGGCTGGACTCGCACAAATGTTGCTCTCCCATCAGCTTGTTAATAGTGCACATTTTCTCCCTGCAGCTTGGATAGGGAGCAGAAAGAACATACATGCAACCGAGCTCTAAAGTATCCCTGCTCACATCACCAGAAAATGCTCAAGACCTTGATACCGCTGTTCATCTAAAGATCCATCAAGAAGGAAGTCCCAGATGCCATAGCAAAGTAATCCCAGTTAGGTCATTTCCTGATCTGTGGGCTGCAGAGGCCTGAGCAGTCTTTCAGGAACAGTGCTGCAGCTGCTCTCTATTGACTTTAAGATGAGAGTAGATGCTAATTTGCTATTGCAGGCTCTACCCAAAGGTCTGAATTGGGAGAATAAAAGTGACACAGCATATCTGTAACTCTTTGGAAGGTGTGGAGATTAGGCCGGCTAAAGAGTGCTGCAAGCTGAGGAGACAGAAAGAACAGCTCGGCAAATCAAATTGTTCTCCTGTAAAAGGACAGTCTATGTCCTAGTGGTTCCCATCCCCTTTCTTTAATGTTTTGAACAGCAGAACAAGTAAACATATGATAAATAAATTAGGGAAGAAACAGAAGTGAACAGGCCAGCTAAATAAATCGTTTCAGCTTTTCTGGCTCCAGTAAGATAGCCTCTACTTCCTCAGGAGCTGGCAGGAGACTCAAGATCTGTGTGGGTTGCTGCCTTCTCAGCTGGAAGCACAGACTCTTTGTGCCCCCTTCCCTAAGCAGATGAGAAAGGTCTTCTGAGGAGCATGTGCAAAAGGGGAATGCTGGGATACAGGGTACTGGTTCAGACAAGATGGTAAATAAAACTAGCTGAAAATGAGGCTAGGAAAAATAAATACAAAATAAGGAGCAACTCAAGCACTCCCACAGGAAAGAACTAGTAACTAAGGTCAACTCTAAGTTTCACCACTCATCACACAGATTCCATTTTCACGCTTCTCAGTATCATAAGACACTAGAAATGCCAAAATGCCATAGAAAGACCTTAAATATGCATGCTTCCGATTTTATTATTTTTCTAATGATGAAAGCTGTCAGCTAAGAACCTAGGCAGCCACACCTCCTCTTATAGCTGGTATTAAAAAAAAAAAAAAAGGAAGAAATAATACAGTGCAAATGAATAACTTCTCACTCTTAGTTTAGTTACTACTGAAATGTTTGTTTTTTGTTGATGCACTACGTGCCTACATATGAAAATGCATATTAGCTACAACTACTCATCATGCCTTCAGAAGGGCCCCAGAATAGCAGCAACTACTGCACTTGTTAAGTAGTCAACCATAGCTAAAAGGCTGGCTTA